CACACCCTAATGGGGAAAAGTGCAGTGCAGCCAAAAGGCATTTATTCTTGACAAGCGTCGACAAGTAGGAGATATCACAACAGCCACTTAAATACATAGTTGATATATTTTACATACACGAAATTGGTTTTTAACCGAATTTCCGAGGACAAAYGGAGCGCCTTGGACCCAGGGCCACGGTCTGGCCCAGACCACCACCAAGACCCACACCCGGACAGCAGACAACATACCGATTCTTTCGCTGGGCCTCTCGGGAGAGAAAGCGAGAGAGAGAGAGAGAGAGAGAGAGCTGAGCAATTTCATTTTACAGCTGTCGTTGTTTTTGCGCTCGCATTGCGCCATTTAATGTAAATCGTAAATTTAAAATGTCATGTAAAACGCTGCCTGTATGCTGTGGGAGGTGATGCTTTGTGGGCGTGGCTACTGCTATGGCCGGGCACTTGACAGCGCGCGCCACTTAAGCAAGCAAAGACAAAAAACAAAAAGAACAGAAGTAAGAGAAAGGAAAAAAAAGAAAACAAACAGAAATAAAAAGAAAACCAGTGAAAAATGTTATTAAAAGCAGTTGGCTGTGATTGCGCAAAAGGACGAGCGACGAGGAGCGACAGCGATGAGAACAGACAAGCTGCAATGTAACGCAAGGCGGCGCTCTTCAATCATGCCACACTTTAAGTTCCACCTCATGAAATATCATGCCGACTAGCATTATGAAATAACACGAACGTTGAATACTGCCGGCTCCTGCATGCACAGTAAGCAGCACCTAAGACATGAGAGAGAGAGAGAGAGAGAGTGAAATGTGCTCAGTTAAGAATATATGAAACTATTTTTATTGGATTTGTGCACTCACATTTTGAGTGCATATAATTTTGGCATGTCAAGTACGCTCAGATGCCTAAGACATGTTCGTTCGCATCGTTATTGCTACGAAATGAGCGATAGTCCGTACTCAAGCAAGCACACTTAACATAAATAAGACTACATAAAGAGATCGGATAACCCACGCATTATATGAGAAACATAACTCTTTGTAATAAACATCTCAGAAACAAGCATAATCATGAACAGAACAAATACGAGCCTTGCATGGGCTGAAAGTAATTTAAGCTTGTTATGTTAGATATAATTGACTCGAATTTTAAATAATAAACAACAATTAATATTGAATATATAAGAAGTATATAAGTAGAAGTGTTTCCTGTCAACACATACTTGTTATCGAATTTGTCATTTATATATTTATATAAATTTATATTTCTTATAGTGCATGAAATACATGAAATAAGCAACAGTTTTCCAATTAAAAATGGTCGCTGTCAAATAAAATTTTTATAGTCCAATATGTACCTTTTCAAACTTTGCAGAAAATAATAAAAAAAATTTTTGTATTCGTCAATTCTTAACACATTTTTAGAATATATCGAAATATCAGCTGACTCTTAAATCATAGAGAAGAATATTTCTCTAGCTTATCATATTTAATAACTTTCACTTAAATTAATTAGATGCTAATAGAAATGCATTTGCAAAATATATTTTATATGCCTACTGAACTGANCTACGAGTGCGAGTGCGTAAAATGGCAGTTAATCGTGACCACGTAGCAGGACTATTAATAAAAGCGTCTTTAGCCTCTACATTTTGTGGACATCTTGGCCTCTGTCGCTGTTGCAACTCGGAATCCAGCAACACCAACAACAAATAAACAAAAAAAAAAATATATATAAAGAAACCACGCAGACAACAACAACAACAGCAACAACAACGACAAACACAAAACCAAGAAAAGCGGCGCATCATTAATTTCACGCAGTACAACTGTCGAGCCTCAAAGGCACACGCACACACACACATGGTAGCCGTCTTTGTGTATATGTGCGTGTGTGTGTGTGTTGCAGAAAAATGGCAAAAGGCAAACTTAATAACAACAAAATGGCTTTTGCGGCCGCCTGGGCCAACTCACTTTGCCATAGGCAGCAATTTTGTAATTTATCATTGCACAAATACACACACCGAACGCCTAGACAAATACACACATGCAGAGACAGGCCTGCACGTGTATGTGTGCAGTTGTTGATTTGTTTGTTCTTTTGAAATGAACTTTAGAGCTAAAGCCAACCCGAATTGACTTAACTATTTAACCTGACCCTGGCACTTCAAAGTAATATTGTGCAGGATTTTTTAAGCGAATGACTCTATTAATAATAACTGTATAACAAATTTAAAAAAAAAAAAAAAAAAAAAACAGGCAACAAAATTTAACCAAGTTTATGTTATATTATTTCTGCACACTTCTATATTAATTAACAAAGTAATATTAAACGAAAAATATATGTTGGTTTATTTTAAAAATTTTTAAAGGGTCCTAATTGCTTTTCTTGTATATTTCCCTTATTGGCTTTTGCAAGGGCCTATACAAACCTCTGGGCACACATGTGGGTTAACTGACTGAACTGAATACAGCCGAAAATAACAACAACTTAAGTTTGGAAAAACAAAAATGTAACACAATCGCCTGCAGCGTAGTACAAAGCAGATACAAAGAGCCGCAACAAAAACACAAACAAAACATTGCTTTGAAATTAAATAAATAACTGGCTCAAATGGCCTGGCAGGAGGCCGTTGGCTGTTGGCAATTGGTAAATGGCAGTGGGTGAGTGGAGCGACACGTCAAAGTCAAGTCTTTCACACTCTCATGCCCACACTTCCTGTCAAGCCCTYAGTTTGTCCTCAGCTTTATAATGCATTGAAATGGAATCCCGTTCTAATTGACGTGTCTTTGGTCAAATGTAGCAATTTTCGGATTTCTTTCCTATCATGCCAGTGGGCCAGAGGACATGCGACAGCAGCGCACGACTGCACTGCGAATAGATGGATGTGTGTGTGTGCGATTATGTGCTGTATGTGTAAGTGTGTGTGCGCGTGTGCGTGTGTCTATTGGTGTGTGAGCTAACGGACCAAACTTTCCGTCGCACGTGCTTTGTTGCTCTCGAATGAGCACTTGAACCAACTTGGTCAAGTTGACCCGAATCGTTCTTGGCCAGCTTCACTCCATCCTCGTCCGATTTGCCTTTGCTGCATTTCCTGTCCAGCGGCCCAAGCATTTCCGTACTTTCTTACTTCTCTTTTCTATACTTTTTTAGCTTTCGTATTTTATGGCTTTGATTTCCGCTGCGCTGCCTGTCGTTGTCTAATTAGCTGTTCAAGACAATTGCTGTAGCTTATAATTGTCCGTGCTGGACAAGTTAAGTCTCTTAACAGATGCTTAACACAGCTCGGCCAGCTGTCCTCGAGTGGGGCTTATGAAAAAGCGCTTAGGCCGACCCGAAAATGGTCTTCATGCGGCGCATTAGCATATTGTTTTGTGCTGGCTGAACTTTAACTTGTGCCCAAAGTGAAATGTGTTGCATACTTTGCAATACTTATGCAACTTATGCAAATGCCATTATCGGCCAGCAGGAGGACACGTCCAGAGCGGTGAGCGGGATCAGAGCAGACGCCATGTTTAGCCACAAATAGAAATAAACATGACATCCCTCGCATTTTTTTCAACACAGCTCAGCTCAGCTCTCAGCTTGCAAATGTGGATGGAGTTGAGGATGGGACAGAGACTGGAAAGGGACAGGGGCAGGGACGCGAGCAGTGGCAAGGAGAGGGAGGTGGCATCATTTTGGGGCACGCATATGACGCGCTGACACCAAAAACGACAAGGACAACAAACATGCAGGGCATGTCCCGTAGAAAATATGAAAAATGTAAAACAAAAATCTGGCGAAAACTTTTCTAATTTAAAACTGCCAACAAAAAAAGAGGAGCTAAAGTGAAAATAAAATAAGGACAGGAAAACGCAGCAAAGGGCAAAGAATATGAACGAGGCAGTTGTGCAAGACTATACGCAAATCTTTATAACATTTACTATACCCTGTTCATAATGTGTATACAAAGAATGTCGTTGCTTAAATTAGCACTGGCAAAAAATAGGACTCCAAAAATACACTGCAATACTTAAACAATACTTAAAAANGAGCAAGCGAGTAGGTGGAAATGTTCTTTCAAACTATGTTGAATTGCAATTCATAATTTATGTTTCAGATCTCTCGCCAAAAACTTTTTAATGATAAATGATATGTGTGTGCAGAGTGCAAAGGGTATTTAGGGCTTTAGGTACAGCAATATGCTTGGTTATCAGTGTAGCTGRCATCTGGAAGAGTATTCAGTCAAGAAACTCGCAAATGATGTCTGTTGACAGTGGAGAAGTGAAAGTCTTTTGTTTTTTTGCTCAAGCTGGATGGCTGGATGGCTGGATAGGGTGGCTTACTTGCTGCACATGTTGATGAATGCGAGGCCAAAGAGATTTCAACTTTCTAATTTAATGCGGCAGCCAGACGGATAACTTCAATGACAGAGACAAAGGCGACTGGCGAATGGTAAACGAAGCGAGAGTTCAGCCAAGGAGCTCCCAACCAAAATAAATTATATTGCAAATTACTGAGAAAGGCAATGTGGCGTATGCGTAATAACTGCCTGGCATCAAACTCGCACAATTTGTACTGTATTGTGCCCGAACGCTTTATATGCATACTGAGTTTTTAATTGAAAATAAACAGAGAGAAACGCGTAGGAAAACATTGCAGACTGTAGATATATGAATGCTTGTGAGATGGGGCGTATGCGTGATAATTATTGATAAGCTGAATAAAACTAAAGTGAATGTGGTAGCACATACATATATTGTAGAGTCTGAAATAAATGGCAAGCTCTACGATTTCCATGTAAAGGCATTCAAACGAACATCAAAGGCAAATTCAATTAGAATAGCCAAAATATAATAATTCAAGTATTTCCAAAAAGTAATAATTTCCTATTAACAAAATATTTAAACACACGAACAACAATAAAAAGACCTTTAAGTGTTTAATTTTTAATAACAAATTGTTTTGTTTATTTAAAAATTGATTCGTTTATTAATATGAATACTTGTGCTATGCTTTCCACTTGACAGATAATTCATGAATTGATTAATTTATTATTAATAATTTATTGTAATTATTTTAGATTTATAATATTGCTGCAATACTTGAAAGCCGACATAATTGTTCGTTAGATTTCAAGGGTTCTGTGCTAATTTTTTTCAATTTTCAATTCAATTGGCTGTAAGTTCTTTTCTTTATTGTTGACTTTATCAGATTACTTAATTTTTTTTTCGAATAGGACCCATGACACGAGTTATGCTCCTTTTGAAGACCTTTCCCCACCTAATTAACCACCTGCCTGACAATGTCCGGCGGCAGCATGAAATTGCTTTTACGCAGTGGTATCTCGCTGTAGAGACGGTCCACGGGTGCGCGTGTGTCGTAGAGTGAGGGCGACTGGCAGATGATGGCGAAAGTGCCGAACACACAGGAGCACGTAAACAGCCAGAGAAAGAAGCGATCCAATACCATGGAAAAGAATTTCCAGTCCTCGACAATCTGTGAAATGAAATAAATCAATCATTTACGCAATGGCAAGCACTCAAAACTAGGTCAGAAGTAAAACTGAACTGTTATTCGATCAACCAGAAGAAATTCCTTTTTTAATAATTTTGGGATTACTTCAGTGCTCGTAAAGCATAGACGAGAGCGAGAAATGCTCGTATTGCGCTGRTAAATAAATTGGTTTCAATTGAAGCCATAAAATCTCGTTTGCGTCTGTCTTTCAATAAACTTCAAGTGTAATAAAAATCTAAAGTTATGATTTAATATTTTACAATTCCATGTTGCACATTTCACAGCCTTGCCGCTCCACACTCCGCACTCGGTATGGGTCTGTGCGGTGCTCAAAGCAAAGTTTTTTGGCAATAAACCATAATGGGAACGAGGGAGAATCGCAGGCGGATAATGTGMACGGAGGAAAGCAAAGTTCTRCCAGACGCCAAAAAAATGACAGCCCAGCCTAAACAATAACAACAATAACAGCCATAATAATTCGAATTCGAATAGCAATACGAATAGGAATCCAAATACGTAAACGAATTCAACACTCGGCTTCAATCTGCGATGGTCCTTGGTGTTGCCCAATAAAAGTGGGCAAGGCAAAGTTGGGCTGGAGTAAGTAAGTGCTCTGTGCACCCGTCTACCCACCTCGTTATCCTTGTCGGCGTCCTTGATATGCTGCGCAATAAATCTGACCGCACGAAATGCCTGCAGCACTTCGGGTGTTAAGTTGCGTGGTATCACATTGTCGGAATCTGTCAAGACCCGTGGCGAGCGCATGGAATTGCAAAAAATTGAAATAAAATATTGGAATAATAAATAAATGGAGATGCCTCCTGCATGGCCCCCAGGCGGATGGCAACTCCAAATCTGCAATTGAATATGTGCACGCGCGTGTGTGTATAAGTGCGCCCGTGTGTCATATGTACATGCATAGAAAAATACAATATTATGGCCTAAGCGAAAAGCAAACCCCGCAGGCAACTGTAGCACGCTCAACTTTAAGACCAACATCAACAACAACAACAATCAACAACAGTCGAACTGAATTATGGCTGCCAGTTTATTTTCATTCTCAGCTTCCTTCTGGTCGAGCATTCCAGCACCTAAGTGAATTTTGCAACATTCACTGGCCACAGCAATCAATTGAATGTCTAATTTGCAATCGAATATTCTTTTCTGCGTTGACATAAGCTGTTGAAAAGCTTCATCTGAGTCCATAGCGAAAAGGAATGGAAAACGACTTTTTTTAATAAAAAATAAATAAATATAAATAATNTTTTAGTAAATTTATAATTAGAATTAATTAAAAAATGTACTCCTTTTGTGACTGTAATATATAAGTATGAAATACTAACTGATTTTTTTAAAGATATTTCAACTTGAAAATCGTTTGCTGCGTTTGCTAAGAGTTTATTTTTAAAGATAACGTGCCTGGGCCTCGATTAGTTTTTACTGTGCGCTTAGGTCATAAGAAATTCGTTCTTTTCACTTAAGCCGTTTTCACACATGGTTTGTTTTATTATCCCCCACACATACACTCACTCATTCCATCCACATTCGTTTTCTCTGTGGAACCACATAGGCGTTTTATATACATATACTTATTTTGTTTTTTGCCATCAAAACATCACATCATCATCGTCATCGTCGCAGCCATCAGGAGTGTCCGGCGACGGCAAAGCGACGCTATCAGCCTTGAGAATGCCCGGCAGCATATTCGCTTCCATTTTATTGCATTATTTGCTTATTTTTATTTGATTTCAATTTCGACTTTTGGGTCGCGGTTAGCCGCGAGTGTTGCAAAAATATTTGTGTTTTTTATGGCCAGACAATTTCCCTCCACACAGTCGGCCGGCTATGTTCTCTGCTAGCAATCATGCCCCGGCCCCCAGCTAACCCCTATCTCCGGCACTTCTACTCAAATTCAAACTCACCCACTGAGTGCTGCATGCCATTATCGTAAGCGCCATCCTGGCTGTCTTTAAACTCGCTGGGAAAATCGCTGATGCTGTCGCTGAAAAGAACACACACACACACACAAAGAAGCACAAAGAGAAACATAGACACGCAGACACAGTCAATGCGAAACAAAGGTTAATAAAAGCCGAACTGTGCATACAGGACTGGCGTTCACCTACCGCACATCGATCTCGTTGGTGTAGCCATTGCTGGGCGTGGAGTCGTCGTAGTCGGGCAGAGTGTACTGAGTGCGTCGCATCATCATCAGCTTAGGCATGAGGTGCAGGAACAATTTGCGACACAGCGGCGACATGTTGTGCGTCGAAGGGGATCTGTTGTCAGTTAATTTAGTTGATTTAGATTAATGCATTAATTTGTGAATGCAGCAGGAGGCATAGACATTAGTGGAGTGTGCAATTTAGCTGCAGATCTCTGAATCGCTGCACTCACCTGAAGTGTATGTTGAGCACACAGACCGTTGTCCAAACGGACAGCGAGACGAGTATCATGGTAAAGAGCAGATACTTGCCCAGCAGGGGCACCGCCAACGATGTGGGCGGAATGATTTCGGCCAACAGCAAGAAGAACACGGTCAACGACACGAGTATTGAAATRCATAACGTAACCTGTCAACGAAATGTTTACACAGTTTCTCTCTCTCTCGCTCTCCCACTATCTGGCTCTTTCTGACTCAGAATGCCTTTGGAAAGCCTTCTGCTTTTATAACAATAACGACCACAACAATGACAATAAAAAATAATAAAAAACCAAACTCAGACGCAAACGAACACATGGACAAACGCTTTACCAATCATTATCAATTATAGCCAATTACATATCAATTACGTATACGCCATGTGAAACAATAAAAGAATTTCAACATATATATTATTTTCATATGTTCTTCATTTTAAATTAAAATCATCAAGTGTAAATTAATTACAACAGTTTTTCTTCAATGACAAACGTGAAATCAGGCAAAGCACTCAGCCAATCTCTTTTTACTCACGCACTCAATGGCTTCACTTCCCAACAAATGAATCATACTGTAAACAATAACAATCAACACAACAAACAGCAAAGCGTTCTACTTATGTGTATGCCTGGGAGCTCCTCACAAATATTATATTATGTTTCCATAATAATGAAATGAAAATACTCATCAAGCTATTTTGTCCAACGTTTTGTTTGGTTTATAAAAATAAATTTATAAGTGGTAAAACTTATTGTAATTAATTTAGCTGCAGACCAATTATATTTGTTTTTATTTTTCCAAATTTTTAATATTTTCAACTGAAGCAATAAGCAGAACTGCTTTAAAATAATAGATTGGCAGCCTATACGTATATCCTGTTCTTTAAATTATGTAATATAAACAATATCAAAATGCTGAGCAACATGGATTACCTGCTGGCTTATATTAATAATTACCTAATCCATAA